AAGAGATTGGAATGACCGACCAATACATTTCATGGAATGATACAATTGATCCGCAAGCATGTCGTACCAGTGAACAAGAGTTCCATCTTCTTTCGCGTGATCCGGCACGTACGCCAATGCAATGGGACAGTAGTGCAAACGCGGGATTCAGTATAGCCAATAAAACATGGCTTCCTGTCGCCGATAATTACACTCTCAACAATGTTGAACTTCAAGAGTCGCAGACTGTTAGTCATTTGAAAGTGTTCCAGTCACTGGCAAAATTGCGATCCAATCCTACAATGAAATATGCTGATGTTCAAATGGAAGCGATCAATGATGATGTGCTCGTGTATAAAAGACAAATGAACGATCCAAAATCGAATAGCGGTTCCAATCACTCCGATATTATTGTAATACTTTTGAATTTTGCCACGCAAATGCAGAGTGTCAAACTAGACAGCGTATTAAATAACACACTGCCACTAAAAATGACGGTGAACATTACCTCAATACAATCGACATCGCTGGTCGTCGGGTAATTTTCTTGTGAATGCGTATTCAAATACTATTGCACATAATAATTCATGATTTTCATTGCAGGCAAGAGGTCAATATACAAAACGTAGATGTTCCACCCGAAGTCGGTGTTGTACTCATCGGAAAAAATTCTCACACAAATGGCTCCTCGGCACATAACTCAGCAATTTTAGCTCTTATTTGTTGTTCATTGTTCTTTCATATTTTGCTATAAATTTTATTTTTAACTAGCCGAATGGGCTCGCTTCGCTCGCCGTTTCGGCTAGGATTCGCCAAGTTGCACTATTTTCAAAACTTCGGGTTATTGTCGCTATATTCATCATTACTTCAATTCTTGTGTCATCCTCGGCTTCTTGCGTCATCTCTCGTACGTTCATTTTTTTCACAATTAATCTTTTTTGGGTTTTAAATTCGATAGCTATTAATATGTCACTGACCTGACAACAAATCAATCCAGCTACTTTGATTCGAATCCACAATACATCGTCAAACTCCAAAAAATTTAATTCGAAAACCAAAACTGCATTTATAAAATTACTCTTGAGGCCGCGCGAAATCAAACAAAAAGTATAACAATAGATCCATGAATCAAAAAAAGGAGAGATAATTGGCTACAGACACACACACACACACACACACACACACACACACACACACACAGACGAACATTCAGTTTTATATATATAGATAGTAATAATTATCTCATATTTCATAATTAATTCTTTTGTTCCAATAAATACAAGCATTTTTCAGAACTAAAAAAATGAGAAAAATTTATTTTTCATCAGAAAGACTTTTGCGAGTAAAAAATGTAAATTTCATATAAGCCCAAGCAAAAATTCACACTGAATCGACGTTGCGTTTACACATATCTGACACTGTTTTCACACGGTTTTGAACGTCAAACCGTGTGGCTATAGTATAGTAGAGTGTGAAGTCGTTTGACACCATTCTTGATGTCCATTAACCGTGTGGATGCAGTTTTTGTTTGTATTGGACAGTGTGGAAGTCCGCCACACTGTTTTACATTTGAAACCATGTCGCCGAAGTGTATGACCGTTACGTTATCATGGTGAATTTTGAAACCATTTTTGGTGTCGACTCTTGATACCTGAACAAACTTACACTGCATCCACCCGGTTATTCGAAATCAAAAATGATGTCAAACGGCTTCACACTCTATTATACTATAGCCACACGGTTTGACGTTCAAAACCGTGTGGTAACATTGTCAGATATGCGTTAACGCATCGTCAATTCAGTGTGGATTTTTGCTTGGGAAGGGCTGCTTTAGCAGACACATTTTCTTTGTTGCAGAAATTAATCGAACAGTGTAACTAATATAAAAATTCAGAGCTAGCCAATCACTGGCAACAACTCACAACTGAATTTCACAATATTTTTTTACTATTGCAATAGCAACTTGACCAATACTTAATCTTTCTTCCTATTTGTAGACATAAGTTTCCCATGGGAACACTGAAGCAGGCATCCATTCTTCGTACAGATTAACTGATAGCTCTTCTCACCTCAGAGTTTATGGTTAAGTTTGGAAAAACTAAAATTCTCAATAACGTGAGGTTTAAAAGTAGTTACGAATTTTGCCGTATCTGTCATTGCATTCATTCGTTGTCGCTAGAGTAATGTCGCAAACCTTACACCGTTTCCTCGACTTTGTAATGATTTTTGTTAATGCAATTGGGTCATGATTTTTCCCGTTATTTACCGCATGAAATTTGATCATTTTCGTAAGAAGACTCAATGCGTATGGAAGAACTAACCGCAGAAATGTCAATTCGAAAACTGATTACAAATAAATACATACAAATCATAAGTTAGATAGATCTGTGCACAAAAATGCATCCCGATCAGTCATTTGGATTCATTCTCCGACCCAATTACATAGAATTGGTTTAAGTTTTCGACATTTTATTATTCCAAACTATAGTTAAACAATGTGTGATGAAAGGAACAAAAAAATATCATATCAATCATTTAAAAAAAGGAGAAAAGAAAAAGTAAAATTTTGCATTGATTCAAATTCATAGAGCCATTTTCGTGAAAATCAATCAGTTATTTAGGAAGATCCGGTTTAAATCAGCCCATTCTCTGTGAATATCTCAAGGATGCACTTCCATCTGCGTGCAAAAGATTTGATTTGGTCATCTTTTCTGATGAACGAATTTTGTGATATTTTATCCAATGTTGAATTTTCATCCGATACACTAGCCATGAGCACGAATAGCACACATATTAGCACTCTTTTTGCTTGTGTAAAAATGAGTCATCAGTTCGATCCTGATCCAGAAATGGTCTATGACTAATGATCCTGAAATCGTTTATCCAGACACGTCTGGATTAAAATTCCATTCCCAATGTGAAATGAGCTGCATTCTGTAGACAGGAAAAATTCCATAACACCAAGAGAATTTTGAAGCTCTGGAGAGGAATGCAGTAAAGGGACACATACACAGGGTATTTGCAACATTTTTCAGAATTGATGAATATTTCGAATCAAATATCACAAATGATTGTCTGTTCAAGGCTGTGATTGTCATGGAACTAATTTTATTGTGCTAAAGTAACATAGGAGAAACAGAATGTAAAATGGTAAATATTCATTTATAACAACATAAATATACTTTTAATGCAATGTTGTAAACTCAATAATGCTTTGGATGAATTTTTAAATACATAACAATGATAACATATGTATGATATTTAATATCAAATGAGATTCAATTATTACGAATCTAAAGCATATTAGATGAGGCCGTTGTCTTTGAATATAGCAAGAATGCACTTCCATCTATTCAAAATAGCTTTCGACGGTGATTCATCTGTCAAAAAGGTGTCCGGTGTAACATCATCCAGCGACAAAGGAGTTTCACTCTCGTCCACCGCCACTACTTTAATCATAAAAAGTGAGTGGTACAATTCAAGTTTGGATTTCTCTTTGATTTCATTCCACATCCTGGAAAATAGGCAAACAAATGGATGGTGGATCGAAAGTTACTTTGAAACTTCGAATATGGATCGATTTTCTTTTGAAATTATCATATAACTTTGTTTTTTTTTGTTCTCAGTTCACACTGTGAACTTTACAGTTCGTTTTTACCCATATTATAATGTGAATGTTAAAATGTCATCAATCTGTCGCAGTCAAAAATTCCCATACTCACTTATCGAATGTATAATCATCGCATGGGCAGTTCACCAATTTCATTGTATTGACAAATTCCAAATGATACTGACGAATGAACAGCTTGAAATGTTTCGTCAAATCATTGCTGCGAACGCTCGTAAGCAAAAAGAAGATCAAGTCGCAGACAAACGTCTGATAGAAATACAGCTGGAAGTCATAAATTTTTACTTTTATGACCGAGACGTCTATATCATCTGTTGAAAGTATAGCGGAACATAAAACTGACTGTATAATTAGGCTAAATTGTACTGTGCCTACCCTTTTTAATCATAATGTTATTCGTCCATAGGTCTCTATGGACAATTGTAGTGTACGGTGTGTCCGCCGTACGCGTTGTATCTCTGCCGAATTTATCGCAAATTTTCAGCTGTTCTTCAATTGCAATGCGAAACTCCGGATCCAAGTCATCAACGAATTTCAGCTCATTGCAAAGGCCCTAATTGTCATGAAAAGTGAACATTTTTCGATCAGATTTATTTTATCAAATGAACAGAATAATCTTTACATCGACAAGTTTGGTGTCATTATCGTCTGGACACAGGTTGACCGCTTTCAAGTATGGGCTTATTTTAGCATCAAACAACTCTGGTTGCATACGTCTGATTGCGATGCAATGTGCATGGAACTGTGCTAGTGTCTATAAATTAAATGAATTTATTAATTTACTCAAGGTCATTTCGAAATTAATATTTGACGTCAAATACTTTTAAAATTGCCATTGTTGTTTCGGTATCAAATCCAATGTGCCTATCTTCATTGACGTAATTTTGAAATTTGATGTTTTCAAGCAATAAAACTGCATCAGCATCGGCACATGATGCGTCTAGAATGTAAAAAAATGAATTTCGACTTTGTTTTGCAAATGGAAAGCCAAAGATGCGAACAAATTTTACCTGGATTCAATGAGATTCTTGAGCCAGGACATGGAATGAATGCATCGATTCGATCTGTTTTCGGGACATTTTTCATCGTTTCGAAAATCTCAATCGCCGGAATAATATCCGAATAAAAGTGGGTTTCTTTGACGAAAGTGAAGGCTGGTTGAAATATTTCGATCAAATATGGATTCGTTACCGCTGTTTTACTAACCAAATGTAATATTTCACTCTGTGAATCGAGGAAAAATTGATTTTTATACATTTTCTTTTTTTGTTAGAAAAAAGTCAATTCACTTCTTCAGTATCACTCTCTCCAATTACTTCCACATCGACTGACTGCATAATGCTGCCATAATTATCACCTGGCTTCGTCAGAGATTTTAATGTATAATCCAACACTTTTTGGTTCAAACATTTTTCCAAAAACTTGCCAAACTCCTTAATTTCACAAAATGAACGCACTTGGTCAGACATTTTATTGGGGTAATGCAGATAGCCGTGGTCAGATAAATGATCGTTTTACTTTGAAATGCACACAGTGACTACAAGTACTTTCGCGGAACAATTGGCCTTTTAAAATAATCCGTTCATCAGCTGAGCTCATCAATCATCGCATTCATTTGCGACGAAAAAAAACAGCAGACACTAGAAGATTGCCGTGTCATTTTGTGTTTTGATTGTCTATCATTTCGTATGATAATGCATGGTGTTTTTGATAACAGCACGTTTTGCTCGATGTATGTCACTTTGGCGGCAATGAGACAATCTTATGTGATTGTAAATCACTTTTTTTGCCACAAGCGGTAATTACGATCGTTACAATTTATAATGTCTCTTGAATTGAACAAACAGCTACGTAATTGTTTTGTTTTGTTTTCGCAAATGAGAAGGTGTGCACTTGTTCATGAATATTTCGACATCAATCAAATGGAACCAAGGAATGTCTCGATTGATGTAGTAATCGAAGGGTTTTTCCACATATTTGTTTGCCTTTCTCAAACAGATTTCAAGTGTTGATGAAAAAAAAAAGAATTATTGAGTCTCTCCTAGGATCACACAAAATGCAATCAGTTCTTTTGTATGTTAAA